TGTCAGCTGGCACAGAAATTCAGCTTAACAGCTCAGGGACACAGCTGAGGCTACTGGATGCAGGACTGCACTACAACTTTACATGGATGGATGTAGAAAGGTCATTAACATGGGAGGCATGCAGTGCTGCGTGACCGGAAATGCAGACCCAAATTCCAAGAACAAGACCTGCTGAAATAAAGGAGGTCTGGTGTTCTTTAAGAGTTTTCTGGGTCAAGAAGCCATTCAGATGAGAGTGATACTCACTCTTCAGGAGGAAAAAGAAGTCCCTTTGCCCTGTGGTTTAGCCCCAGGTCACCCCCACTTCAGGGAATCTAGCTTACGGTCTAGGTTTCAGAAATTATTTTTCTACCAGGTTGAGTGTCTCAAGAATGGTGCCTCACCTTCCACAAAGGGAGACTGCTGGCTGACGAACTGGTCCTCACAGACTTGTTTGCTTTTCTTAACCTGTTGGGTCAGGCGGCCCTGATCGTCTGCCAGATGCTGCTCCACCCACAGTGGGGCACAGGGCAAGAGTGAAGGCCATAAAAGGAAGACATGGGCTTGCAAGGGGCCGAGTCCGTTTCCATCAGAGAAAGCCTCTGGGCAGACTGTGCCGCCCTGCAGCTGGCTCACCAAGCAGACACTTGTAGGAAGAGGGGTGGGGGGAAGGTGGCTTTTTCCAGAACTGATTTATTTGGGGCCACAGAGATTCTAACAGATGGAAAGACGTAGTTAACTGGCAGCTTGGCTGTGGAGGAAGATGGGAGCATCTGCAGGAGTAGAGAAAGTGGGGGAGGACTGTGTGTGGGCACTGAGTGGCACTGGTGGGGGCCGTGGAGGAACCAAGGCAGGGATGACGACATAACTGCCTTATTAGCCAGCACTGCCAGAGGCAATACACTGACCTTGTGCACCTCTGGAGAATCCTCCCGACAGACACTTGTACACAGAAACACGTGTGAAAAGAGGAAAGATCACTGGACTGGGAAGAGGGAGCACGCCTGAGCTGCAGACCTATTTTTAATCAGCAGCCAAGCTATGTTAATGCCTTTTTGGATCTCATCTATATAAAGGTGGCAGTTGATCAAGGGACCACTGAGGTTCTTTCAGCATCTAAATTCTATTACCTTCTCCCAAAGGGAAGCAAATAAGCTTGGGAGGACATGAACACAGAAAACTGGAGAAGCACCTTTGGGGAAATACAGGGACTTCCCTGTGATTCGCCTCTGAAGAACGTTCAATATGAAAAAGACACAAGGGACAGCAATTCAAGTTTGCACCAAGATCAGGCCGAGGGACTTACTGTGCAGACAGGTTATGTTCACTGGGATGAGTGCTACAGAAGAGAGAAATGAATCCACTTTTTTTCTCTTTGGTGAGGGAATGCACATGGGCATCAGAATGACTCAGAACAGCCTAAGCAATGACATATGCATACAGTTGTGATGCTCTCCTCAGGGTAACTAACAGGCAAGAAGAAATTTAGATGTAAGTGGCCTTGGTAAATCAGAAGGGATGAGCCTTCATTGTGAAGGATAACTGAGGGTGCTGATCTGGAGCAATAACCCAAGAAAAGACAGTCAGATCTCAGATAGGAGGGAAGGACTAAGCCAATTTATTCCCTGCAATAAAAATGCATTTTCCTACTACACATTATAGCTTCCCTTCCTCGCTCCTCAAAACACATAAATGATAGCACTGGAATGTTTTTCCCAAAAAAGTTAAAGTTTCTTGGTCAGCAAAGCAATTATTTAGAAAAAGGAAAAGAAGGATGTGAACCCATGTACCTCCTTATTCAGTTATTCATCTAAATGACAATTAAGACAGGCTATCCTTCACTTGAAAGACGATCTATAAGATGACTGAATGAAGTGGGGAATTATCTCTATGAGCTCCTAGAACAATGCAAGGCTCACACATGTAGCTCTAGCGCATGTTAGGTGCTTTTTTCTTTTTTTAGAGACAGGGCCTCACTCTGCTTTCCACGCTGGAGTGCAGTGGCGAATCACAGCTCGCTGCAACCTTTTAAGTCCTGGGCTCAATTGATCCTTAGCTAGGACCTCAGGCATGTACCACAGCGCCTGGCTAATTTTTTGCAGAGACAGGGTCTCAGAGTTGCCCAGGCTGGTCTTGAACTCCTGGGGTCAAGCAATCCGCCTGCCTCGGCCTCTGAAAGGGCTGAGATTACAAGTGTGAGCCACTATGCCCAGCCAAGTATATTTTTAGAAGGCTCCCAATTGCACTGGCCTGGTTGGGTATTATTGTATATATATACTGATTCTTGACTTCAACTTTTCTTCCAAATCTAGAAAAAATAACCTTGGTTTAAGAATTCTAAAGAAGAAAGCACAGGACAGGCATGGTGGCTCACACCTGTAATCCCAGTGAGGCAGGAAAACAGGGTCTTGAGGCAGGGAACCTAAGGCCCATCCGCCCTAACTGCGTATCAGAGGCTACTCCCTTTTCAACCCCTCCTTTTTCTGTGTGGCAGCTAGAAAATCAAAGTACCTCTGATTGGTCCCCCCTACAACCAATCAGACTGGTCATGGGCCACTAGAATGAACCAATGGAAAACCTCTAGAGGGCATATAAACCCCAGAAAATTCTGTAACCAGTGTTCTGAGTCTCTTGCTTGAGCCAGCTCCCACCCTGTGGAGTATACTTTCGTTTAAAATGAATCTCTGCTCTTACTGCCTTGGTTTTTTGTGCATTTTGTCAAATTCTTTCTTCAAAAGACCAAAAACCTGGACAACTACCCTCACCCAGTAACACCATTGCTTTGGGAGGCTGAGGTAGGATTGCTGGAGGCCCAGAGTTCGAGACCAGCCTGCACAACAAAGTGAAACCCTGTCTCTACAAAAAATAAATTAGGTGGGCACAGTGGCATGTGCCTGTATTCCTAGCTACTAAAGAGGCTGAGGCAGGAGGGTCACTTGAGCCTAGGAGTTTGAGGTTGGTGAGTTATGCTACTGCACTCCAGCCTGGGCAACGGAGCAAGACCCTGTCTCTAAAAAATAAGTAGATTAACAGAACAGTCTTTAAACTAAAAATTAAAAATTTTTAGAATAAAACTTAAGTTGGTATTTTAAAATCTAAACTATAATCAGACTGATGAGATTCAGTATTTTATGTAAAGAATACTACATGATGTCATGGATATTCACCATCACAGTTTTCTCTACTTTTCCTCATGTATTGTTCCTTACCCACTGGTGTAAAGTAGTAAAAAATATGTGCGCATTTATATAGGTGCTGAGTCTAACGGCCTCATCACAGCTGTTCACCATTATTAACTCTTTATGATCATCTTCATATACATACACATTTAAGTCTGAAGTGGATTCAAGGATCTATAAATCTTCTGAAAGAAAACATTTGCTAAATTTTGTGCTGAGAGGGACAGACTTTAAGAGGCCTTTAAACAAAAACACTAAATTCCACTAATGTAAAGGATCAAGCGCGTTCTTCTGTTGCTCTATATGCTCTGAGAACTTTTTCTAATGTTCACATTTAAAATGAAGAAAACGAAAAATAATCTTCATTATCCAAATGTGAGCAGTGCCCAAGCTTCGAAGGTAGACAGCCCCGCCTCTGCCATGGAGAGTAGGCCCACACACTGGTGCCGCTGGAGCAACCGTGCTGGTCAGAGGGCCAGGGGCAGAGAGCCCCGAACAGGCAGTAAGAGCGCTAATGAGGAAGCAGGGACAATCTGTCCTGTACAGAAAATAATTTCAGATTCATATGTTCCACATCACCCACCTGGAATCCAGCAGGAAGTTAAACCAAACGACACATGATTCTCTAATTATGAAATACGAATACAGTTGACTGGTTTTTAATATTTATTTACCTGAAAGCTTCTAACTAATGTTTCTAACTAGTGACATGCTTCAGGCCAAGAATTCTATTTGCCTAGATCACGATGTCTAAACACTGCACACTTGAGCAATTCTGGATCCAAATAACTAGCTCTGTATGGTCTCGGGCCCTGTAGTACAGCTCTGCTTCAGGGGCTCCCAGCCATGAAAGGCACTAGGATTACCAGAGGAATTTTTAAAATACCAGTGGGGGTTGGGGATTCCCATCATCAGTACTAAAGGCTACCAGGTGACTGTAATGTGTAGCTGGGGTTTGGAACCAGCAGGTCAGACATCAATCCTGACAGTACCATGGAGGCAGACTGTTCCCCAGGCCAGATCTCTCAGCAGCTCGACAGCACTTTAAAGAAATCATGCACTCGATTAAGATAAAGGGATCACTATTTCTTAATGCTCTAAACAGAAAGATAAATGAGCTGCCCAAGAGGTGCTCGGCCAAAACCTGAGAATGGCTTTTAGAGGGCACAGTTCCTACAGTCAACAGGGAGAGCTGGAAGTTTCCCCTTCTAGAGCCACAAGCAACACTTCTAGATTTGCACTGGGGTATGAACTGCGCTGAGCAGGGAGATCCTCCAGGTCCTAACATTTCCACATAGTAGGTGAGTATTTCAGAAGCAAGTACCTGTCCCCACTCCAGCTAATGCAGAAGGTCAGCACTGGATAAGACTACAGCAGCTGGGAGATTTCCCAGGAAAGGGAGGTATATGAGTGTGTTCCTGAAGTTTTCTCAGGTGCATCATATGCATAGGTATCTTTTTCCTAACCAGGTCCATCACAATTTTCTCCAACACAATTTTCTCCATAATGTTTTGTACCTTTACACACACACACACACACTCTCTCTCTCTCTCTCTCTCTCTCTCTCTCTCTCTCTCCATCCCATACAAAAAGTTTAAAGAAGTTTCTGGCATGAAAATATGCCCTCTTCTAGCTGAGACAGCAGCACTCATCAGCACTGGATTCCATCCCACTCCACTTGCCTGCTGCAACCGTGGTGGCAACACACACCCTCCAGGCTGGCTGCTGTGAGTAGGTTCTGAAGAAAGCAGTCACCCTTTACTATTTGGTAAAGTTGTATTATATTTTTAACCTAGTGGATTAATCAGTCGAATCTCGGACATGACAGCAAGCTTCATGATCTTTTTTTCCTTTGTTACTCTTAGCTCAACTTCCACAGCTGAGTAAGAAGTTTTTCATGTACTTACAAGAGTGTTAAAATTTTTATTCCTTCTCAGCAGGAGAGAGTTGGCCCTTCTTGTGACTTTGTCTCTGATTCGTGGGCAAGTTGGCTTGGGAATGCTACTAGGGAAATACTAATCTTTCATCATCTTGAAAAAGCAACAAATAGAACAAGAGCTCAATGATTCAAAATAAAAGGAAAGAGACGTCTAAAATAGCGGCATGTTCAAGTAACAGACAATCTTAAATAATGTAGCAACTTTCTTTTACTATGTTCATTCTGTATCCAAAAGAATCTTACAAAACTGTAATAAAAAATGACATGGTCAATACTTTGCAATGTGCCATTATCAGCCTCTATTACTCAATGAGATACTAACCATATATTAGTGTAATGAGGTCTTGTATGGTCATGTGTTAAAATATGGAAGTGATATTAGCATAAAAGATCCTACTGTGAGAGTAAAATTTGTACAGAGCAGTTCTTTCAATAATTCAGAATATGAATTAACATTCCAATTAATATAAGATCTTCACTTCTAAAGCAAAAGCTAATGGGCCAGGTGGTAAATGCCAGTTTTAAGAATAAACAAAAATGAGGCTGGGCATGGTATCTCACGCCTATAATCCCATAACTTTGGGAGGCAGAGGCATGTGGATCACATGAGCTCAGGAGTTCAAGAACAGCCTGGCCAACATGGTAAAACCCCACCTCTACAAAAAAATACCAAAATTAATTGGGTGTGGTGGCACACCTGTGGTCCCAGCTACTCAGGAGGCTGAGGTAGGAGACTCGCTTCACCCCAGAGGTACAGGCTACAGTGAGTCAAGATCGCACCACTGCACTCCAGTCTAGGCGACAGAGCAAGACCCTGTCTTAAAAAAGGGGGGAGGGCTGGTCCTACATGCTATGTTATCCTAAAAGCACCTATCATTTTTTTTTTTTTTTGAGACGGAGTTTCACTCTTGTTACCCAGGCTGGAGTGCAATGGTGCGATCTTGGCTCACCGCAACCTCCGCCTCCTGGGTTCAGGCAATTCTCCTGCCTCAGCCTCCTGAGTAGCTGGGATTACAGGCA